TGTTTCTTCGTTTTCCTTCTGACAGTCTGGCCCCTCTGCTGTAGGTCTGCTGAGGTTCACTCCACTCCCTGCTTGCCTGGGGTTCACCTGCAGCAGCTGCTGAACAGCAAGGGTTGTTACCAGTTTTCTTCTTCTGCTATCTTTGTCCCAGAAGGATACCCGCCTAGTGTCAATCTGATCTCTCTTTTATGAGGTGTCTTTTTGGATATATAGGGGTCAGGGAGCTGCTTGAGGAGACGGTCTCTTCTTTATAGGAGCTCAAATGGTGAGCTGCAAGCTCTGTTGTTGTTCATTCAGAGCTGCTGGGCTGGTACTTTTAGGTCTGCTGCAGCAGAACTCATAAACTGCTTTTTGTTCGCAGGTGCTCTGTCCCAGGGATTTAGGGCTTTATTTATGAGTTTCCGTTATGCTGCTGCCTTCTTTTTTTTTTTTTTTTTTTTTTATCTTCAGACCTGCCCAGCCCAGCAAGGAGGCAGCCTAGTCACTGTCGGCCTATAGTAGCTTTGCTGAGCTGCTGTGGGCTCCGCCCCGCTGCCGAGTGAACTTCCCTGCAGTCCTGTTTATATGGGTGTAGTTAGAACTGCTTTGGCGATGGTGGCCCCCCTCTGCTGTGGCGGGTTGCCTTGGCAGCGGACGGCTGCCTCAGCAATGGCGGGTTGCCTTGGCAACGGCAGGCTGCCTCGGTAATGGCGGACGCCCCTCCCTCACAGAGCTGGACCGTCCCAGGTTCAGCTGCGCTTGCTGTGAAACTCTCAATCCAGAGTTTCTGGTTGCTGTTCTTTTGTGGGGGTGGGGCCAGCCGAGCCTGATCGCCTGGCTCCCTGCCTCAGAGCCTTTTTTAAGTTGGTGTTCCAGTCGCCTGTTGAAGAGGCGCCGGGGTCTGTTTGTTTTCCCTTGCGGCCACTCACTGCGCTGGCTTAAACAGCGGCACTGAGGTTTGTGGCGCCTTTTTTTTTTTTTTTTTTTTGCCCTGGAATCTACTGTCCTGGTTCTCTGCTCAGTCCCCTTTTTGAACTGGCGTATGGGCGACTTCCCGTGGCTCCAATCGCCAGCCAAAAGGGCCCCCGGACCGGTGTATTTTGTACGGAGAACCGCGGCTCCGGGGTGCTGACAAAGCAGCTGCGCGGGGCAAAGCAGAGGCGCTGGCCGGCACAGCCGCGCTGGCCGAAACAGCCGCGCTGGCGACCATGGAGCACCTCCGCCCGGGAATTTCCTAGTCTGTGGGCAATAAAAACGCGGCGTCCACTCACCCTCTGCACTTTCACTGGGAGCTGCAATCCTGAGCTGTTCCTAAACGGCCATCTTGGATGTCCCCCCAAAACCCTTTCTTTTCAACATACTTTCAAGAATTTTAAACACAGAGTTCTTTCATCCCCAACTCTAACTTTTAAAAGCAACTGCTTCAAAAATATTGTTTTCTTTTTCTCAAAGTATGACTCTGAGTGTTCTCATGAATAACAGGGTTTATGTTAGTATAATTCACACAAACTTAGCAAAAGTATTCCTACTAATATTTGATTTGATTTGATTTCTGTGTCACTTTTGCTCATCTTTGTTGTACCCAAGACCTTTAACAACTTAAAGTTTTAGAAGTTTGTATATTGTTTCTTCTTGAATCATAAACTCCTTTAAGGGTTGGAGATTATAAACATTTCTTTTGTGAAAAAGATTTAGAGAAAATATTTGGTTTATGTAACCCCTTTATTCTAGCCCTAATGCTTGATGCATTAAAAATGAAATTGGAAGGAATTTTATCTTCCAGCAATGCACCACTAACATGGTGTCAAAATGCTAGAAGACAGGAAGATCGAGATTCGCTTGCTTATATTTTACTACTCTAAGCTGGTGGCCCCTTCAATACATCCTTCTCTTCAAGGACTGAAACTCTCAGGAGAAGGTTGGAGGCAGCCAGAAATACGATAACAACAACGAAGATATATTGACAGTATCTTTAGACAATTATTGCCA